TGTGATACGAGAAACAAGTGAAATAAATTAAATAAGCTCGTGAGAAATAAAATATTAAAAAAAAAAACCTGATACTGGGCACGGGTTCAGCCATTGTTGTAGATGGAAAATTGAGAATATAAGATACATAAGATTATTTCATTTATATCTGTTAGCAACGATAAACCATTGCTGACAAAAGATAATTCCGAGCAAAAATTCAACAAAAATATGGTTTCTTGTTGTTGAGGAGAATAAGACACTATGTTATATCATCCCTTCAAAGTTTTCTCCTTGATCAGTATCAACTTTTTTTTATACTTCCGATGGTTGCATAATAAATATAATTAAAAACTTTTCCTAATAATAAACATTTTCTGTATTAATGTAAAATAATGATATCGTGAAATTGTACGTTATTATGAAAACCAATTCGAAAAAAAACGAACTGCACCATTATTAAAAACAAAATTAATAATTTAACAAAAATGGTCACTTGTCAATTGGAGCCATATTTGTGCTAAAAAACGTGGTAGATGATACTTATTTAAAATATCGAAATTGTGAAAAAACCACATTTTTTTTTCGATTAATAGTTTATATTCTAAATACCGTTTTGAAAACCAAAAAATAACCCATGTATTTACCAAGTAGATAAAATTGACTTTCTGAAAAAATGTTACATTTATACATCGGAAAGTTTTCTAGAATAAAAGTGGTCTACAGAAAAAAAAGTATTAAAATTACTCAATGAATATGATTAATATTGTATTCTATTTGGCTGGTATTAACATGAATGCCTTATTAAAATCATTTTGTAAGGAATATTGTGCATACATGTGTAACAACATAGAAACTGAATATAATCTTCCAGAAAAATATTAATTCTACACAAAATCATTGAATAAAGGAGGATTGAAGGAACCATGTGTAAATGTTCAAACACATACCTACAAATATAATGTATAAACTATGGTCATCACGAAATTGCTAACTCAAGGTTGTTAAGGGAGATGAGTGTAATGGAAATATGGAGGAATATAGTATAAGTCTAGTAGCTAACCCTACTTGTGTAAGATAATGGCAAACATAAAAAAAAAAAAAAAATCATACCTACCTATAATATATCAAATTGTATTTTCTTAACAAATTATTACAGAATATTTGGTAACAAAAATCCACTGATTACTTTGAATATAATTTAAAATAAAATAAGTTAACAATTTAAACAAAAACATGGTGATACATTTTATAGTAAATTTAAAATAGTAACTTATTATATTTATATAAATATTAAATAATAATAAATAAAATATTTGCAAAAATATGATTTATTTATTATTTTATTACAGGAAACTAAATTAATAATAAAACTTTAATAAATTAGAATTAGACTCAGATATAGAGAATGTAATTTCATGTTTCTTACACAGGAACTTATTTTTTTAAAATATAATAATGACCAAAAAAAATGACATTACTAATTCCATCCAAGTGTTACATGAGTAATGAGTAAATATGCAGTAGCTATAATAACGCTACCTAACATTACCGGATATCCAACTCTAAAACAAAAATATGTATTATATAGTTAGATAATATGTTAAAAGTATCATTAAAACATTTAATATTCAATATTATATTATATAAATTCAATATTAATTACAATGGAGACTTACCCCAAGTCCTAGTAAAACTGAAACCACAGCTTTCCATCTCAATAACAAAATGGCAGACTATAACCTGGAAATTACCTACCGAGGAACCAGACTAAAGCATGTTCCCCACCCAAAATATCTGGGCGTCACTCTGGACAAGACACTGACCTTTAAAACCCACTTAACTAACGTTGCATCTAAGATTGACTCCCGCATCAATATAGTTCAAAAATTGACAGGTACAGATTGGGGCGCTGACTCCTTGACGCTGAGAACTTCCACTATCGCTTTAGTCTACTTTGTCGCTGAATACTGTTTTCCGGTATGGTTAAATAGCACACATGCCAAAAAGGTGGATATCAAACTCAATCAAAGCATGTGCATTATATCAGGCACAATCAAGACTACCCCCCTCGACTGGCTACCCGATCTCAGTAGCATCATCTCTCCCCAACATCGACGGCAAACAGCGTTACTTAAATTGTGGTCAAAACTCAATAACAATACCACCCATCCAATTCATGAACACTCTAAATTCTGTAACAACCTATGCATACGCCGACTTAAGTCACGTAAACCTCCGTGGGAAACTGCTATTAAACTTAACACTGCCAAATATGACGCAGTACAATGTTTGAAAGATGAATGGGAAAAATCAGAATTAAGTAACTCATCGCTCATTAAGAACCCTACAAACAAACAACCTGGCTTCAATTTACCACGGAGAATCTGGAAAACCTTAAACCGATTACGTATAGGTCATGGAAGAGTGGGGCATTTTATGCACAAATGGGGCATTACTCCTAACCCAGGTTGTGACTGTGGTGCCCCCAACCAGAACATAGACCATATCATACGAGAGTGCCCTAAGAGAAAGTTCGGAGGAAAGCTCGAGGACATTTTTTAATGCGACCCCTGAAGCTATCGAATGGGTGAAAAGCCTGGACATTATTCTATAGTCATTATACTTTTATACTTTTATACTGTTGTTTATACCAGTTGTCATTATATTCTGTTTTGCTACCTGCTTATTACTATACATAAATTATATATATATTGTTACATTGTCTATGCCATACGAATAAATAAATAAATACCATTGTCTATAACTTTTATTAAAATTAAGAAGTGTATGGTTATTTTTTCCCGTTTTTGTGTGTTAATATTGGTATTGATAGTCTGTCACTGGGAGCCGATTTTGTTAGACACAGCACCGCTAAAAATAGTATTTAGCTGATTTCACGCTATGACTATTTGATTCGAACACGCATTGACTCATATTTTTGTCAAATAGCATAATATAACTACCTCGTATAAGTTCTATGGTATTAAGGTTGACTGAGTAAATTGTTGTCTATAACGATACACTGTGTTTTATTTAAATTTTTATCCCACTCTACCACAAAAAAAAAAAAAATAATAATAATAGTAATAATAATTTGTAGTATCTATTAAAAAGATGTATAATAAAGACCCTCAAGATTATGGTTTGCATATAGGCTTCAGTATAGTATACTTATGACACTAAAAATATTTATTTTCCATTTTAAGTCCATTTAAAAAGAATTTAATTTAATTTATCTGCAAATTTATTAAGAACAAAAGTAAACTATTATATAACTATAATAGGTATATATAAATAATACAAATTTAATTATTTCAAGTATTTTCAAAAGCACTTTTAACGTCAATAAACAAACACTTTCTTCTAAATTAGTAATGAACGAATACTCTTTGATAACGAAATGTTTATGCATTATCGGTACTACACAATCAATGCCAACTATGGATAAATGAAAAAGGAAAAAGACGTTCCTAGGATAATAGGTACGAGTGCAGCCACTGTTATAAATAATTTGATATTTACATGTAAGCAACGATAAACCATTGATTACGAAAAAACGATTCTGAGCGGAGTTCAGTGAGTTCAGATTATGATGCTTTATCAACAACATAAATGTTATTTTATAGTAATATAATTAAATAGGCTTTGTACATTTTCTTTAATAATATTTGTTTAATGTTGAACCGATTTTTCCAGTTTTCCTAAATTTTTTCCGGTTTTCTCATGTTTTATCCAGGTTTTTCATTTTTAATGAGAAAACTCCTGAGAAAGTCGAAAAAATTGCCTCCTTAAAGTACCGTTACATATCGATTTACTATCAGAAAAGATGCTATACTTAGAAATCAGAGGAAGTTTTCTGGTAGAAAAGTTGTTAACAGATAAAAAATGTATCATATATTTATAAATCCATCACACAAATAGCATTTGGACGACTGTGGAACAAATTATTACCATCAAATTAAAAATTTTCCCGGCTGGAAGACTTCGTTCATTACAGTGCATAGTTTCGGGGTGCACCCAATTCAATTATAAAAATTGTATTTTTCACATTTGAGGTGAATATTGATGTAAGGTAATATTTTGTATGTATGCAAATCATTTTTATTTTTTTATGTACACATAATTTAATTAGGTGTTAGGTATTTTTTTAAATTTTAGTAGAAGTAATAACTATATTTAATTAAGTTTTTATAGAATAATCCATTTAGTAGTATATTTTTTAGATCAAATACCCCAAATAAATTTTTCTTATTTAACAACACTTGTTTCTAAATTCAAATCTCATTACAATTTTAAAATGTAGTAATTTGTGTAATTTTACTTTAAAATAATTATAAATAATAATATACCCAAGTAGGAATTTAGGATTATTTAGTTCATTTTTCTTTCAATTTTATAAAGGTAGTGTAATGAGTGAAATTAAAAACCCTAAATCGAATATTTCAATTACAATAAATACGGCAACAGATATCTATGCTCTAAAAAAAAACCATTTCTTATCCAATATTACAAAAATAAAAATTTTAAATCTACAGGAAATACTTCCAAACTAAAAGCTAGACTAAGTAAATATTTAAGAAGAACTACAACTTTGAAAGACGTTGACGATTTATTAGACACTGAGAAACGTAAAATGATTCCTAATAATTCGAAAATTGATAAAATTGATGTTAAAAAATTACTATAAGACGTCGAGCTATTTAATTCAAGTCCTGATCAAATAAAAAACAACAAAAACTCATCAACTACTATCTCGAAACTCTTAAAATTATACGAAAACTTAAGTAATAGTATACATTTATTTTTGTCAAACGGTATATTTTTGATGCAATAATATACAAAATAATCGAAAACCTCTATAAATCGAATTTTTAGCTCGGTTCCCTGAATTTCAAATTATCGAATGATTACTATACATACATTTTATTAAATATATAAAGAAGAATTTCAAAACTTTTTATTCAGCAATAATAAAAATACTACACGGGCGTGTGATTATTTAAAAGTAATAGGGAGATATTTTTCTATTAGACAAAAACTGGGCAATGGGCCACTGCGTCAGCCAATATGTTTCACAATGTTACGGGGAATAGCATTAAAATTTAAAATTAAATTTAATAATATAAAATAGTTGATTAATCAAAATAAAAACGTTAGCGAAATAGCTTACTTAAACCAAACAATTAATGGTTATTATAATTTATTACAAAAGACAATTATAATGTTAAACCTAAACTCTAATATTTCAAAACCTTAGAAAATATAAAACAATGTTGCGTAGAAAATAAAATAATAAACTTACCATTGCCTAAAATATGTTGAAGCTTGGACAGCAAAAAAATGTGATATTGTTTCTAATATGATCAATTTTATATTTCAAAATACCTCTATGAAAATTAGAATACTATCATAACTCGAGGAAAAAAATGACAACTTTTTTAAAACTATGAAAATATATACCCTATTAATGACAATGAAAACGACAGTAGTACGGTTGAAAATAATAAACCTTACAATACTAGAGTTTTATCAATAGTAGAATAAGAAGGTACTGAAAAATACGTAATAACAGACACCCAATCAAATATTTTTTGCATAGATTATTCTTTAATTAATAATATGGAACGGATTAAAAATGAGGTAAAGGTTATTATAACAGGAGCAGATAATACAAAATTAGAACAGATAGGCAAAAAAAAATTAGTGGTTAAATAAATAATAACAAGTTCTCTATTAATACGTATGTAATCAAAAGATTAAACTGTAAAATATTGCTAGGAAACAACTTCAACATAAAAATAACTTATACATTTTAAGGGCCGCTTTTCTTGCATTCTCTATTTATTGCATTTTTTAATTTCCTGTATTTTTCCACCCCTCTTTTGTTTGTAGCATTTTGATATCTCCTCCTTTCATTAATCAATTCCAGTACTTCTTCCTTAATCTATTCTTTTCTTTTAATTCCTTTTGATTTTCCTAAAGTTTCATCTGCATTGTTTAATGTGCATCGTTTTATATTACCCCATTTTTCCTCAACGCTTAAAGTACTTAGTTCGTCAAAAATTCACAAGGAACAGTTGTGTTAGATTTTATCAGGTTAGGCTTCTTTTTCAAATCATCAATCACTTCTCACTGATTTGGTCTTCATTTACATACTGAAAAGTAATGTCTAATAGAATTTCTCAGTCTACCAAGTCCACTTTGATAACATCCGACTACCCTTAACTCAAATGTCTTTCCTGATCAAACAATAATTTCAGGTATACAATTCAATTGTATTTTAAGCAGTGGAATAGCTTTTGTACTACAGTCAATAAAATTATCTAATATAAAATAATATGTTCCCATTAGTTATTAATACTAAAATTATTGGCATGTAATGGAATCTTACATTTGATATATTTGTTTATGACCTCCTGTTTCAGATAGTTGTGCACTTATTAGTTAAATAAAATTAGCAGTTAAATTTTTCAAAAAGACAGTATTAAATACATTAATAGTGTTTACTTATTTTGCTCAAAGGACATTGTTGAAGTGCTGATGTACTTTTTGATGCGTTAAATAATTCTATATTATCAAAAGAAATACATTGGTTTTGTCGTTTTGGTGAATTTGGTAAAGAAATTGATATATTGGCAGAATCTGACTGTGTGTATGGTATTGTGTTTATTAATTCTAAACTATTTGTATTGTAATTTAAGTCTGACTTTTCAGGTGAACTTTGATTTGCATTTGTATAAGTACTTCCTCGAATGAGTGATGTTACCTTTTATGAAATTTTATGATTTTCTAAGAAGATTTCAATATTTGTTGTTAATGTAATATTTTTAAATGTAAAAGTTTTTATTTTAAAACTAGACTCTAAAACCGCTGATGTAGCCATTTTCTTCTCAAATAGCATAGCACATATGGAACGTTTTCGTTGCCCGCAAATATGCGTGCATAGCAGTGGGGTTTAGCAAAGGGTTTTCAAATAATAAAATCAAGTTATTTTTTAAAATTTTTTACCAAAATATAAAAAACTAATTATAATATAAATATTTGTAGTCCTTATTCCTAAGAAGAACATAAAAAAATAACATAATTTGATTCAAATAATGAAAACAGACAAATTTACGGTGTTAGGATTCCTTTATTTTAAATTGCCATTGCTTATATTTTTACCAATAATTTGCTCTAATAGAAAAACAGAAAGATATCTTTTTTGTTTTTTATCTTTTTTGATTTTTTAATCAAGCTGGTGACTAAATAAGTCGTTTATCAATTTTTCCTGTATTTTTTTTTAATAATCGAGCAAAATCTAAAAAAATACATAAAAAGAAGGAGAAAATATACAAAAATAATTCTATTATTATTTTGATTTTTGTTTTTTGATGTGGTTATTTAATTGAAAATATTCGTAGAAACTTGATTTTTTTTTTTATAAAAGTATAAAAACAAATTTTAAGGAAAATTGTTATCATTACGGACTTTGAAAACACGTATAACCGAACTTTATTCCGAATTGTTTTTCGTTACTTAAAAGTATTAATTAAATAGCTTTTTGTATCATACCTTCGTAA